AAAGAAAGAAAGAAAGAAAGAAAGAAAGAAAGAAAGAAAGAAAGAAAAGAGAAAAGAAAAGAAAAAAAGAAAAGAGAGACAGACAGACCAGAGTGACTTGGATGCAAGCTTGGCTTATAGACCATGAGGAAGGAAGGTAGGAAAGAAAAAAGGACACACAAGACAGTGTCCAAGACCTTGATGATTTTCATCTTGGCCTCTTGGGTCAGCTTCTGGGTGGAGGCAATTTGGCCTGTTCTCAGAGAAACAGAGTTGAAGCCATTACCTATGTACAACCCCTTCACACCATACACTGGACCCCTAGGATAAGGTCAAGGTTAAGATTCGGTTTCCAGATGGGCTGTGATGGTGCTCGCCTTTAATCCCAGCACTCAGGAGGTAGAGGCCAGCCAGCTCTACAGAGCAAATTCCAGGACAGCCAGGGCTACACAGAAACCCTGTCTACAAAACAAAACAAAAGATTCTATTTTCATACTGTCTTCTTTTGGCCTGGATGGGTCTTTCTATTAAACTACCTGGGAAAAAGGCATGGCTTCCTGCCCACTCCAGATGGCCATACATGGACTATGGAGATACAGGTACTTCCTTCCTTCACTTATTTATTTATTGTATATGTATATGTTCTATCTGAATGTATACCTGCATGCCAGAAGAGGGCACCAGACCTCATTATAGATGGTTGTGAGACACCATGTAATTGCTGGGAATTGAACTCAGGACCCTTAGGAAGAGCAGCCAGTGCTCTTAACCTCTGAGCCATCTCGTCAGCCCCAATACTTCCTTCTTACTCAGGGAAATTGTCTCTCTTCCTCTAAGTCTCTCACAGACCTATGGGAGCCAGTGAGATTGACAAGCAAAAAAGGACTGGAAGTGGGATGTGGGGTACACACCTTAAATCTCAGCACTCAGGAGGCAGAGGCAGACAGATCTCTGTGAGTTCAAGGCCAGCCTGGCTTACAGAAGGAGTTCCAGGACAGTTAGGGCTATACAGTGAGATGCTGTAAGACTCACTGTGTCCATTTGAGAGTGTTTCATTCCTTCCATGACCCTCAGGAAAATCAGTTCATCCTATCTTTAAGAAGTGTATGTTTGTGGCAATAGCTGGGTGGTTTGCTGCTCTTACAGAGGACCCAGGTTGGGTTTGTAGAACCCATATGGCAGCTCACTGTCATCTGCAACTAGTTCCAGGGAATCTGATGCCCTCTTCTGTCCTTTGTGGCCACCAGGCATGAATGTGGGTAAAAAAGGTATAAGAGCTGGCCTGGTCTACAGAGTGAGTTCCAGGACAGTCAGGTCAGGGCTATAAGAGAAATTCTATCTTGAAAACCAAATAAATAAATAAATAAATAAATGAATAAATAAATAAATAAAGCTTAAAAAGGTGTAAGAGATGGGTATAAAAAGCTGGGCATAGTGGTGCACACCTGTAATCCCAGCATTCTGGAGGCAGAGGCAGGAGGAGAGTTCATGGCCAGCCTTGGCTACACATTGAACCCAAGACTATACACTCGAGACTCACTCTCTGAAGGGCTATCTGAAGACTGCATAAGACACACTCTGAAAGATGAAAGAAATGGAGGAATTCGAGAGCCCTGCGTAGTGCTGCACACTCCTGTAATCACAGTACTGAGGCTGCCAAGGCAGAAGGATTTCCTTCGTGTATTAATTATACAAGATTATGGCATTTTAATACATGTAGATAATGTGTTTGGGTTGTTCTCTCTTGTCATCTCCCATTCTAGTTCTTCCTCTTCTTAGTTCCCTTAGATTTTCCTGTCTTACTTTTTGGGGGGAGGGGAGATGGTTTCTCTGTGTAGTCCTGACTGTCCTGGAACTCACTCTGTAGAGCAAGCTGGCCCGGAACTCAGAGACCCACCCGCCTCTGCCTCCCGAGTGCTGGGATTAAAGGCGTGCGCCACCACCACTCAGCATCGTGTCTTACTTTTTTTTAATAACATTTATTTCTTGTATTGTGTGAGGTGGGGGTGGGGGTAAGGAGCATTTCCTGCTGTGTGGTCAGAGGACGACTTCTGGACTTCTGGGAGTTTGCTCTGTAGCCTTCCACCAATCAAATGCAGGTTGGCAGGCCTGGCAGCAAGCACCCTTACCTGCCGAGCCATCTAGCTGGCCCTCATGCCTTCCTTTGTTGCTACCCAGTGAGTTTAGGGTTGCTACAGGTTCATGCTGAGGTGTTATATATAGCAGCGTGAGCACCTTACCAGTATCTATCCCACTGTAGAAGCCATCTCATCCACCTCCAGCAGCTACTAACTGCCGATAAGGCGGGGTGGGACCCAAGGGCTCTATGACCATAGGTAATATGATTTCTAAGTCTAGGCCAGCCAGTATAGAAACTCTTAGGCTGAAGAGATGGCTCAGGAAGAGCACTGACTGAGTTCAGTTTCTCGAGCCCACATGATGGCTCACTATCTAGTTCCAGAGGATCTGGCACCCAGACATACATGCAGACAAAATAGCAATGCACAGAAAATAAATAAATCTTTAAGAGAGAAAGAAACGCTTTCCCCTTCTACACTTACACACACACACACATATATACACACACACATACACACACACACACACACACACACACACACACACACACACGATGTGAAACTCTTCCCCTTGAGGCCAATAGATAGTGTTAATCTGAAGACAGTTGATAAAAAGTACCTGCCTTTGGGTGGGAAGAGATAAGCAATAAGCAAAAGGTGGGGTCTAATGGCTATTTATAAGGTTTGACTTCAGGCTAGGAACTTTAGGCATGTTAGATAGTAGGGATTTGAGGATTCTGGAGAAATTCCAGCTGCAGACTCGCTCCCATCTTCTCTTTCCCTGCCCTACCCTTAAATTCTTTCCTCTTTAACAGTGGCAAGCTGGTTTCTCCCAAGTGGAAGAACTTCAAAGGCCTCAAGTTGCTGTGCCGGGACAAGATCCGCCTGAACAACGCCATCTGGAGAGCGTGGTATACTCAGTGTAAGTTGGTGCTGTGGGTGCCTTGGGATTGGGAGGGTCCACTCTGGACAGAGGGCCCAATGCATGGAACCCAGAGCCAGCACCTCAGAGTACATGAGGCCAACCTTGTGGGGGAGAGCAAGCCCTCAGTGCAAGGACTTCCAGCCTTCAAAAGGTTGTGAGGAATATATGCCAAAGGTCAATTTCTACTGTGAGACAAAAGGGACAGCAGAAGACACTTTGAAAGCCCTGAAGGAGGCTGCAGTGTGGGTGCCAGTTCAAGACCTCTTCAGCAGTCCCTTCACTGAGGAAGCACTTGGAATGTTCTGGTAAAAGAAGTCTGTTAGGGCCAGAAATGTGGCTCAGGGCCAGAACACCTGTCCAGGGTCCCCCAGTGGCGGACTGGGGTGTGGCTAAGTGGATTCTAGGCTCAGAGATCCTAGGCTGGCACTCTACCACTGAGCTACATCTCTCACTCATATTTTACTTTGTTTTTTTTGAGACAGCCTTTCTCTGTGTAACTATGGCTGTCCCGGAACTCCGCCATAGACCAGGCTGGCCTTAAACTCACAGAGATCCTGCTGCCTCTGCCTCCTGAGTGCTGGGATTACAGTGAGTGCCACCCCACCCCACCCCACCCCCAGCACCATCAGCCTTTCAGTGACTCAGGCAGATGAGGTCCATAAAGCCATATCGGAAAAGACCCTGCACTTACGGTCTCCCACACAGCTCTCCTGCCTCTGCATCTTACTGGCTATGTGACTTTAAGCAAGTAGCCTAACTGTTCTTTGAACCCACTTGCCTATCTATCCAAGGAGGCCAACAGTCCTAACCTCTCATTGCTGTGGTAAAAACAGATCTAAGAGGGTTTCTTGTTGGGATTTCTATTGTTTTGAAGAGACACCATGACCACAGCAACTCTTAGAAGAGGAAAACATTTCACTGAGGCTGGCTAACAGTTTCAGAGGTTTAGTCCCGGCAGAGTGCAGGCAGGCATGGTGCTGGAGGAGCTGAGAGTTCTGCATCTTGATCCACAGGCAGCAGAAGGAGACTGTGTGCCACCCTGTGTGTAGCCTGAGTATAGGAGACCTCAAAGCCCACCCCACAGTGACAGTCTTCCTCCAACAAGACTACAGCACCTAATTGTGCTCCCCAAGGGCCAAGCATTCAAACACATAAGTCTATGGGGCCAACGCACAGAGCCAGAGCCTATCACTGAGGTTCAGTGATGGTATACCCTGAGGAGGTTACAGTCATGTATTTGGGGACAGCCCCCTCTGTAGCAAGGCAATAAAATCAAAGGCTGTGCTGAGCCAGGACTGTGTCCCTATCCAAGCAGAGTGGGGCTTTTAGACTATAGTTTCTATCGATCCATGTGCTCAACACTTGAATAAATTATGTCATTTAATACTCAAAAGCAAGCCAGGCATGGTGGCCCATGTCTGTAATCCCAGCACTCTGGGATACAGAGGCAGGCAGATTTCAGAGTTCGAGGCGAGCCTGATCTACAAAGCAAGTCCAGGACAACCAAGACTACACAAAGAAACCCTGTCTTGAAAAACCAAAGCCAAAACAAAACAAACAAACAAACGAGACTGAAAAGCAGCCAGGCTTGGTGACATACTGTCGAGGCAGAGGCGGGAGGATCTCTGTGAGTTTGGGGCTGTCTGCATAGTGAGTTTCAGAAGAGCCAGACATAGTGAGAGGCAAGAGAAGGAGGAGGATAGGGTGTGTGTGGGGGGGGGGGGTTTGGCAGTAGCTGCCAGCACTTGATGTGGCCGCGGCTAACTTGGGAGGCCGCAGCATGAGGGCACCCTTAATCCACCCTGCTACGTAGCGGGTTCTGGGCCAGCCTAGACCACAAGAAATCCTTTCTGAAAAAAAGAAAAAGAGGTCAGGGTGACAGAACATCTTCTTAGTGAGAGTTTTGAGACTCTCCCGTTCCAGATGTACAGCATCTGGCGCCTTCCCAGAAGCCCCCAGTGAAAAACCTTAGGGTGTGGTTCTGCGGGAAAGCGTGCCCAGACGCCCCCAGTGAGGAACACAGGAAGTACCTGTTTTTTGTGTGGTTCTCTGGGTCTCTGAGATGTCATCCGACAGGCTCTTGGGAAATTGGGAAGCTGGGATGGGGTGGAGGGCGGCTTTCCCCCACCTTGAGTTTCTCATTTCATCCTAAAGCTAGATAGGCAGCATAGGCAGTTGGCACCACAGAAGTTAATTTAGCTTTCTTTTCCTTTCTTCTCTTCCCTTTCCGCTCCTTTCTCTCTCCCTCAGATTCTTTGTGTATGTGTGTGCAGGTGCACATACACATGCAAAAAGGTCAACCTTGGTTGTTATTCCAGCTCATTGCCTGGAACTAAGTAAGTTAGGCTTGCTGGCCAGGGAAGTGAGCCTTAGGGATCTCCTGGGGTGCCAAATATGCACCCAGATATTTTTTTACATAAATTATGGGCAATGAATGTAGATCCTAATACTTCCAAAGATCTACTGAAGCCAAGCGAGGTGGCACATGCTTGTAATCCCAGCGCTCAGGAAGGCAGAGGCAGGCAATTCTCTGTGAGTTTGAGGCCAGCCTGGTCTACAAAGTGAGTGAAAGATAGCCAAGGCTACATAGAGAAACCCTGTCTTGAAACCTCCACCCCCCCAAAAAAAAAAAAGAAAAAGAAAAGAAAAAAAACTATATCTCAAAATAAAAAGTAAAATATGAGCGAGAGCTGCAGCTCAGTGGTAGAGTGCCCAGTGAGGTATAATCCCCCAGTGAGGTGCTGGGGGTGTGCCTTAGCATGATTTAACAGTGTCGAATTTGCAAAGCATGCAGGAGGCCCTGGGTTCAATATCCAGCACTGTAATCAATCAATAAATCAGTCAATAAATAAATTTGAAAAATTAGGAAGCTAGAAAGCCAGGTGGGCATGACTTCTCCCCACCTTGAGTTTCTGGGGGTTAAGAGCACTTGTTGCTCTTGTAGAGGGCTTGGGTTTGGTTCCCAGCACCCACATAATGGCTCCCAGCCATCTACAGCTCCATTTTCTTCTGACCTCCACAGGTACCAGACACACACACACACACACACACACACACACACACGGAAAACACTCATACATGTAAAATAAAGTAAGTAAACCTTGGAAAAGATAACTGTGGGCTAGATGGTGGTGGCGTATGTATTTAATTCCATCACGTGTGAGGAGGCAGAGGCAAGCAGATCTTTGAGTTTGAGGCCAGCTTGATCTATGTAGTGAGTTGCAGGACAGCCAGAGCTACAAAGAGAAACCCTGTCTTGGGGAGAAAAAAAAATGATTGTGATGTTGTAGACCTGTAATTACAGCTACTGTAGAGACAGAGGAAAAAGGATAAAAGGTTGAGTTCAGTCTGGACTACACAGGAAGATTGTATAAAGATTGTATAAAAAGAAACGAACAAGCTATGTGTGTGTATATATACATATACATATATGACATCACATGTATACACTCACACACACATGTACACATGACGACAGGCAAGATGGCTTGGTATATAAAGGTTGTCAGTCTCAGCGGGTTTACTTGGGTGCGCCATGGCACACGTGCCCCTCCTCCCCACCACACAAGATAAATAGCGGTAATAAAAACGCAAATCATCATGATAATGGTAAAGCTGTGGGTGTGGCTTACTGGTAGAGGCTCTAGGTTCAGTCCCTAGTTGGGGACAGACAGGTCCGGTCCCTGTGGAGGAAGCCTGGCTTACCCACCATGCAGAATGTGCCATCCTCATCTCCCAGCAGGGGGCGCTACTGCCCCTCTGCAGGTCCCTGACTTCACCCAGACCTCGTCCTTCTTCCACCTCCCAAAGCCTCTTGGTTTCTCCTGCGGAGGCACTTTGCACCTCTCCCTGGGCAAGAGGGACTTTCCACTTTGCACTGTCTGTCGAATGTTTGTTTTCCTTATCTCTCCTGCTTTGATCAGCCTGGTTTATCCCTGTCTCTCATCCCAGCTTTGGCCCCTGCAAAGGTGCAAAGGGTTAGGTAGTGAATGGCAAATGGAGGAAAAGCACCAACCTAGAACCCCCCAGTGGAGGGGGAGGCCAGGGGCATTGCACAGTGGCAGAGCAAATGCATGGAGGATGTGATTGGTGTTAAAGAAAACCTGTCATTGCCCTCTGTCCAGAGCACAGGGTCCCTGAGCAAGGGAGACAGGAAGGGGCTGTCACTCCTAGATGTACTTAATCTTTCCTGGGGGTCCTCCCCGGGAAGACACAAGGGAGACGTTCTGGAACCTTTCCTGCTGTAGGAGCCTGGTAGTTTACATGCCCAGGGGTCCGTCCCTTTGTTTTTTCTTCTTCCTCCTCCTTTGTTGAATCTCATATAAGCCAGGTTAGCTTAAACTCAGTGTCAGAGGATAACCTTAACATTTTGACCTTCCTGCCCCCACTTCCCAAGTGCTGGGAAGTGCCATCCCATTAGAGAGGAGTTTCTAGTCTCTCTCTCATCTTTCCTCTTTCCCTCCCTCCTTATCTCCCTTTTTTGTGATACTGGTGTTGGAGCCCAGGGCCTCACATACACTATCCAAGCATCATACCATGGAGCCACAGCCCAGCCCCTCACTGGGGGATTCTAGGCAGGTGCTCTACCACTGAGTCACACCCTCAGCCCCTCACTGGGGGATTCTAGACAGGTGCTCTACCACTGAGCCATGCCATCCCAGCACTGTCTGTGATGAAAGCCTGTTAAATCAATAAACAAAAGAGAAATAATTGATTGGCAGTGTGTAACATGGGAGAAAAATCACATTAAGACTTGTAGGGAAAAAAAAAAAAAGATTTGTAGGAAGGTGTTGAGAGTAGAGAAGAGCCTGGTGGCATGGCTCACGCCTGTATATGACTTAGGAAGCTAGGGGAATCATGAGTTTGAGGCCATCCTGGACTATATAAGGACCTGTTTCATAAACCAAACAAAGAAAAGAGAGAGTAGGCTATGGCTTCAAGGTGGAGTACATGACAAGAGATAAGAAGCTGGGGCAGCTAGGTCAGGAGGAATTTGAAAACCAAACTGAGGAGGGGTGTGCTCTCTATCCTGGAGTCTGTAGGGAGCTATCGAGTGTCTTGGAGCTGTAGCAGCAGAAATGGAGAAATGCTGAGTATGTATGAGGCTTGAGCCAGGGAGGTCCATGCAAGGAATGACTCAGACTAATGGATGAGTGAGAAAGGATGGGGAGAGGGGATGGAGGATGGACTGTCATAGACCCTGTGGAATTGGCATGGTTGGTCTGTGGACTGGACTTGGAACACTGACAGCTGTTAGGAAAGTTTTGCAAGTTTTGGAATATTAGTGAGAAGAGAATTCAGGAATCACCACAGAGCAGCCTGTGGCAGATGAGGAGACAGCCTGTGGGGCTTGCAGAGGAGGTGGAGGCTCTGCAGGTGGGGTGGAAGGGTGGAGTTGCACCGTCTGGGTGGATTCTGCATTTCCAGAGCACACGGGACACTTGCAGAACTGAGCCAAGAGAAGAGTAGGGTGTCCATTTTCTAGAGTAACAAAGGAAAGAGAATTGGGGAATTAGAAAAGAGCCTGGAGCTAAAGCAAAACAAGAGGAACAGAGTTTGAGAGTAGTCTGGAGAGACAGCTCAGTGGTTAAGAGCACTGGCTGGACTTCCAGAGGTCCAGAATTCAATTCCCAGCACCCACATGGCAGTTGACAATCATCTATAATGAGATCTGATGTGTGGTTGTACTAGCAGACAACACACCCATATATATATTACATACATACATACATATTTTTTTTAAAGTTTGAGGACAGCCTAGCTACATAGTAGTTCCAGGCTAGTCCGAACTATAATAAATAGCAATACCCTGTATCAAAATAAAAAATAATTTCCACAAGGCCTGATGGTGTCTATCTCCTCAGTATACTTCCTCAGAACTATTCTTTGAGGATGGGGGTGTGGCACAACGGTAGAGAGCCCAGAATCTCCCAGTGAGAGGTTGGGGCGTGATTCAGCAGTGGATAAAGTGCTTTTCTAGCATTCAGGAAGCCCTGGGCTCCCTGACCAAAACCGCATAAAGTGGAAATGGCGGTGCGCTTGGGAGGTTGAGGCAGAGGAAGCCAGAGCTCACAGTCACCCTTAGCTGCCTAATGAGTTTGAGACCAGCACAGGAAAAATGTCTGAAAAAAAGATCAGGCAGGATTATGAAGTGTCAGCAGACTTCCAGTCTCCTTGGGTGGGGAGTGAGAGGTCGGGTGCTGTGACTTGGCCCTCTTCTCTCAGATGTCCAGCGGAGGAGGAGCCCAGTGTGTGGCTTCGTGACCCCTCTGCAGGGTCCTGAAGCAGATGAGCACCGGAAGCCTGAGGTAGCTGCTCGCCCATCCGCAGTGGGGACTGTGTGTGCGAGGGGATGGGGTTTGGGGAGATTGACCGTCTGGGGCATCACTCTTCGCACTGAGGCCTGACACCTGCCCTACCCCAGGCTGTCGTCCTGGAAGGTAATTACTGGAAGCGGCACATCGAGGTGGTGATGCGCGAATACCACAAGTGGAGAATCTACTACAAGAAGCGGGTCAGTGGGACTGGCAGGGGCAGAGCATCCCCTTGGGGCTTAGAAAAGCCCTACAGGGGATCCCATGACCCCACCTTAACCCATACCCTCGAACCGCCCCATTAGTCCCAGCATGGTAGCTTCCCAAGTGGCCACAGGGTCTCCCGGGGTGGTGAAATAGAGCGGGCCTCGGGAAACAGGCGCTCCGACAGACGTGGAGGGCGAGGGACTCAACGGCGGACAGCGGATTCACTGTTCAACTTTGTGTCTCCGCAGCTTCGTAAATCCAGCAGGGAAGGGGATTTCCTAGCTCCCAAGCAGGTGAGTGTTCAGGAAATCTAGCAGGGAAGGACTCCTGGGAAGATGGAAACTGGAGAATTGAAAATGTCTGCCTGGCTGACCAAGGGCAGGGTCTGGGAGAGGTGATTGGGGTGTAAGAAGAATGGGAGTGGTCTCTGCTATGGTGTGGGTGATGACCAGAACTTTATCTTTCTGGGAAGATACAGTTGTGAGGCAGGAGGATTGCAGTGAGTTCCAGGCCAGCCTGAATTTAATAATGAGAGTCCAATGCAAGTGTGGACTGCATAGTGAGACCTCCATATTTGTTTGTTTTTTTTTTTGTTTTGTTTTGTTTTGTTTTTGGATGTTTGGTTTTTTAGTTTTCTTTGGTTTGGTTTGGTTTTGGTTTTTTCGAGACAGAGTTTCTCTGTGTAGCCTTGTCTGTTCTGGACTTGCTTTGTAGACCAGGCTGGCCTCGAACTCACATGATCCACCTGCCTCTGCCTCCCAGAGAGCTGGGATTAGGGGCGTGGGCCACTGTGCCTACCCTGCTGAGACCTCCATGTCTTAAGAAAAGCAAGCAGATAGTGGGAAGCCCAAGGTGGGAAAAGGATCCAGAGGAAAAGAAGTCTCTGAAGAAATCAGACAGAAAGCCAGGCAGTGGCTGAGGCCAGAGGATTGCAAATATAGGGTCAGGTCAAGAAGTTTGAGGCTAGCATGGAGATCCTGACTTAAAGAAGAAAAATGAAAACAGGTAAAAGTACGTTGGCCTGAGAGGCAGTAGGATCAAGGGTGCCTGCTACACAGAGTCTAGGCTAGCCTGTGCTGCATGAAGCCCTGCCTCAAAAAATTAAAGCCAGCAAGATGTGATGGTGCATGCTTTTTGTTTTGTTTTGTTTCTTCCCTAGCCTTGTGTAGCCTTGGCTATCCTGGAACTAGCTCTGTACACCAGGCTGGCCTTGAACTCAGAGACCTGACTGCCTCTGCCTCCTGAGTGCTGGGATTAAAGATGTGCATGCCCCGCCTCTGCCACCACCACCACCAGCAGCAGCAGCACCACCTCCACTTAGTGCATGTTTTTAATCCCAGCACTTGGGGAGGCAGAGGCAGGTGGATCACTGTGAGTTTGTAGCCAGCCAGGGGGGCTACAGAGAAACCTTGTCTCTAGAAAACGAAACAAAAAATGTAAAAAGCCAGACTCTAGCATAGAGAGGAGGAAGGGCTATTGGCCATCCTGATCTGCTTCCCAGGAGTCCTTAGAGGCCAGAGGGATGACCTTTGCCTTCTAGTCAGTAAACCACGCTCTCCAGGGAAAGTGAGGTGCTGTCATTTAGAGAGTCTTTCCAGCCAGGGTGGGGGAACCACTTCATTCCCAGGCAAGGGGTAACAGGAAGTTGGACCAAGGCAGTGACCTCTGTGTCCTGCCAGGTGGAAGGTGGGTGGCCACCACCAGAGCGATGGTGCGAACAGCTCTTCTCCAGTGTGGTGCCTGTGCTGCTTGGGGGCTCCGAGGAGGAGCCTGGGGGCCGACAGCTTCTGGACCTGGACTGCTTCTTGTCCGATATCTCCGACACGCTCTTCACCATGACACAGCCCAGCCCCTCGTCCCTGCAGCTGCCCCCAGAAGACGGTAAGAAGGGAATAGGGGGAGGGAAGGGGAGGAGGGGCTGAAACATCTCCCCAGCCCACAGCTTCCAACCTCACCACTGTCCCTCCAGCTTATGTTGGCAATGCTGACATGATCCAGCCAGACCTGACACCGCTGCAGCCCAGCCTGGATGACATCATGGAGATATCAGGTAGGGCAGGTTCTCCCCAGGAGGCAGATTGAAAGGGTCAATTGAAGAAAACAAACAAACAAAAAACCTCTAGGCGACTATAAGGCTTTGTGCCAGAGGGAAGATGAATGGTGCCACAGTTTGTGTGTATGATGTTAGAGTTGGAACCCACTAGGCAGATGCTCTACATTTGAACCACACCCCTAACCCCTCACAGTGTGGGGAGGAATTCTAGGCAGGTGCTCTGTCACAGACTCTTTATGGTCTAGCATAGGAGAATCTTTGGGTTCAACCCTGAGCAGTTCATAAGCCACGGTGACTGACAAAAATTCAGTCAAATCTGAATTTGACAAAAAAACGTCAAATCTGGCTTGTTTATTTTATCTATTTATTTATTCATTCATTCATTCATTCATTCATTCATTCATTTATTTATTTTTGAGACACGGTCTCACTGTCTGGCTCTGGTTATTCCAGAACCCATTATGTAGACCAGGCTGGCCTTGAACTCACAGAGACTTACCCACCTCTGCCTCCCAGAGGCAGGTTCCTCAGACCCCTGTCTTTTCTCAGGCTACTGAGTCTCTGCTGTGTCTGGGTGTTTCCAGATACACTGACCATGCCAGTATGAGTCCATGAGGACAGACCTCTCCTTCTCTCTCTTTTGTCTTCCCTTGGTTTTTCTTTTGAGACAGGGTGTCCTTCTTTTCTTTCTGTTTTTGTGACAAATGCTCCAACCAAAGTTAGCTTAGGGAAGGAAAGCGTTTATCTCGTTTTACAGGCCACAGTCCATTAGTGAAGGAAGTCTCTACAGGAACCTGGAGACAGGAGTTTACGCAGAGGTCATGGAGGGGTGCTGTTTACTGTCTTGCTTCCCATGGCTTGCTCATCCTGATTTCTTATAGAACCCAGGGCCACCTGCCTAGGGGTGCACCCCTCACCCCCTACCCACAGTATGCTGGGCCCTTCTCCATCAACCACTAACAGAACGCTCTCCAGATTGGCCTGCAGCCTGATCTTATGGAGGCATCTTCTCAGTTAAAGCTCCCTCCTCTCAGGTGACTTTAGCTTGTGTCAAGTAGGCATGAAAGGAGCCAACACACTTAGCTACCTCCTACATCAATTAACAATCAAGACACTCCTCGACAGACATGGCAACTGACCAGTTTGATCTAAGCAATCCCTCAATTCTGGTTACTCTAGGAAATTGTCAAGTTGACTGTTGAAGCAAAGTTTGCCTTATACAGTCCAGGCTGGCCTCAAATTTGCTGTATAGTCAAAGCTGCCCTGGACTCTGATCCTCCTGCCTCTACCTCCTGAATACTGGGATTAGAGGATTAGAAGTGTGTTTCACCATGCCAGTACTCTTTCTCTCTCTCCCTCCCCACTTCTCCATCAGTTCCATTACTTGAGATAGAGTTTCATTGTGTAGCCCAGGCTGGCCTTGAACTCAGGATCCTTCTGTCTCAGCTTCCTGAGTCCTGGGATTCCAGGTGTGAGTCATAATGCCTGGTACAATTTGCTTCCTGGTTTCCCATGAGAATCTTCCCTGTCTTCCCTGCATGCATCTCTCTCTCTCTCTCCTCTCTCATTTGGTTTTTGTTTGTTGAGACAGGGATTCTCTGTGTAGCCCTTGCTGTCCTAGAACTCTGTAGACAAAGCTATCCTTGAGCTCAGAGATCTACCCGCCTCTGCCTCCTGAGTGCTGGATTAAAGGCGTGCACCACCACCCAGCCCTGTGTGTATTTCTTCCTCACTGCTCCTTACAGGCAATCATTTAGGGGTCTTAGAGCCATGGTGGGGGTCAGGAGGCTATCAGGGCTGAGCCTGTGTCACCCAAACCTGACAAGATAGTCTCTGAGAGAGAAGCCTCATTTATTCTCCCAGCTTCTTCCCTACAGGGTCCTTGGCCTGTCATTCAAGAGGTGAGGCCTATGGGGCGGGTACTAGGGAATGAGGAACCACCCCCATCCCTAGCCATAGCCCTGGGAGGGTGGTGTCTGCCAGGGGCAGAAGTTTTGATGCCAGTGCCCTGGGAGCAGACCTGCCCCCCAGGAGAGCAGCTCCGTCTTGGCCCGCAGACCCCTACCACAGGTAGGAGATAAGCTGGCTCTTAGCTCTGGGCAAGTGCAGATGAGTTGGAGTTTTCGGTAACTTGTCAATCAATCACAGATAGCAGCTGATTGGGGCAAGCATGGCTCTCCCAGAACAAGTGGTTACGATGACCCTCTCAAGCTGGCCATGCTCCAGAAGAGCCTTGAGCCGAAGGGGTTTCCATTCTGTCCTCTTTCTGGAAATCCTGTTGAAGACGAGAAATTCTACAGGGGCTGGAGGCTGGGGAGGGCAGGTGCAGGGACAAAGAGGCTGGTCACTTTGGGGACCAGGCCAGGCAAAGACTGGGGCTGATGGGGGGAGGCTGGGAGGGGGAAGAGCTCGATGAAGGCCGCTGGGAACAGGTGTGGACAGTTCACAGTGAAGGGTAGCCTGCAACTATAGCGTCATGTTGGTTTGCCTGTCCAAGTGGCCTGCTAATAAGGGCCATGGACTCTGGGGGAGAGGGCTGGAACTCTAGTGACCCTTTCTGGTCCCCCCCTAGATGGGAGGACACAGGGCAGCATAAAAGTACTTCTGATACCGGGAGAGATGTGGGCATGTCGGGTGTCTCAGTCACATCCTAGGGACAGTCATCCAGAAAGGTACATAGAAGTTTCGCGTCACTGTATACTGATACTAAGAATGCTGGCTCTTCTAGCCAGGCAGAGCCACCTAAGACAAACACCTACACATACACACACATATACACACATGTGCCATGCACAACACATATGCATGCTCACACACACCACCACACATGAACACAGATGCACACATGTACACACATATTCATATAAACAAAAGGACCACACTCATACATGCTCATGGACACACACATATGCATATACACATGTACACACGACAGCACACATATATACATATACCATACACATATACATGCTCACACATGTACAGAAGCCTACATGTATTCATATATACACACCATACACGTGTCTACATATATGCATGTGCACACTTTCACATACACTAACGCATACATACACATGCTCTCACACTTGCATGTACACATGTTACAGTCCCATATATATTCTCAACATATGTATACATACAAATACACACACCATGTAGACATAGACACACTACATAGACACACACACACACACATACACACCCTGACCTATGACCCTCTCTAACTCACTTGGTCTTGAGAGGTGGTTTATGTCTGAAAGGTCCAGCTCTCCTGGTTTAGGATTCTGGGGAAAAGTTGGGCACTGCAACCTACCAAACCCTGTGAGGTCTTTTCTGACTGACCCAGGAGGCTTTGGGTACAGAACACAGGCTGTCTAGGGTCAGAGAAAGTTGCCCGGAAGGGAGAGGGTAGGCGGGTGTCGCCCCAGCCCGGGATGTGGTTAAGCCATGAGCAGCTTGCTTCCCAAAACCAGAATAGCCCAGAATTTACACAACTCACACCCTAAACATTCTGGCTGCCTTGCCTGCCTCTCCCATAAGCTTTTCAGGCTTCCTGGCTCCCTTTCACTCACACCCCAACTCTGAGCCCACTCTGTGTCCCCCACACATCAGCCTAGGCTCCACTCTTACAGCCCCATCTCATCGATCTTTCAGCAAGTCTAACTTTGCCCCCACCCACTGACCTCATGAACCTGTTCACCCTTGATTCATCCCTGACACACTAGGGCAACTCCCCTGTACCCCACCTTTTTCCTTTCCTGGGCCTTTCTGTGACCCCTTCTGTCTAGAATGCCAACAGTGCTAAAAAGGGGCGCAGACACAGGGAGGGGAAGTGAGCCGAGAATGGGGCTCCATGGGTGTGCAGCTTCCTGGGGTGCCTGCTCACTCACTCCTACATCCCACCATCTCCCCCAGGTCTGTCTCTACTGCAGCTTCCCCTGAGTATGACAGGAACTGTTTCATAGTCTCCCATGGAAGCCTTCCCCATCTCCTGGTCCCTATCCCACCTCTGCCCAGCATGGAGACTGTGTCCATGTCCCATTCTGAGTTCTTAATGTCATTTGCTACCCTGTGTGTCCCAAATTACAGATTTCTTCACCAATTACCGCCCTCCGCAGACGCCCACATCTTCAAACTTTCTGGAGCCCCCCACCTTTGGCCCAATGGCTGACCCCCTCTTTGGCAGTGGGATCCTGGGCCCAGAGATGCCATCTCCAGCCTCCTCTTCCTCCTCCTCGGGAATGACCCCTCTCTCAGGAAATACCCGCCTACAGGTGAGTTTATCCTACTCTGCCCCAGCCAGCCCAGAGCATGTGTGAGCTAGCTCTGGCTCTGCCTAGGGCCAGAAAGTAGCTAGACACTGGGCCAATCAGGGAGAGACCCTGAGAGAACACAGCCAGCAGAGAAAGATCCTAGAAGATCCTACAAAGCAGAACTAAATGAACTGAATGAGAAAGAGAGGTAGAGGAAGGCAGAGGACAGAAGAACCACAGAACAGGGCACAAGCCAGAGGAGGGTTTTTTTATTTTTAAGAGAGTCTCAGGGCCCTGGATGGCCTTGAACTTGTAGAGGTCAGCCTGCCTCTGCCTCTGCCTCTGCCTCTGCCTCTGCCTCTGCCTCTGCCTCTGCCTCTGCCTCTGCCTCTGCCTCTGCCTCTGCCTCTTGAGTACAGCCATTAAAGGCATGAGCCACCATGATTGCCTAGCCAGGTGAAGGACAAACCAGATGGCTGGGACAGGAATGTGTGCATGGAAGCAGAATGAGTGTGTGTGTGTTCAGGCATCTGTTGTTGGCATCTTGTTTCGGTTTTGTTTGGTTTTTTTAGACACAGGATTTCTCTATGTAACAGAGCCCTGGTTATCCTGGACTCTTCTTAGACCAGGCTGGCCTTGAACTCACAGAGATCTGCCTTCCTCTGCCTCCCAAGTGCTGGGGTTTGAAGGAGTGTGCTACCACACCCAGCTGGTATCTTGTTTCAAGAACTCTCATGCCCAATTCAGAAGTCATTTCCCTGCAGCTGTTAGGTGTCTGTTTTAGTTTCATTTCTATTGTTTTGTTAAAATTATCCAGAGGAAAAAACAACGTAGGGGCAGAAAGGGGTTTATTTTAGCTTGCAACCCCAGGTTACAGTCCATCCTTGTGGGGAAGTCAAGGCAGCAACCTTAACAGACACACCTCATTTACAGCCACACTGCATCTACAAACACACCAAATCTACAGCCATGCCACATCTACAGCCATGCCACATCTACAGACATTGCATCTACAACAGTCAAGAGCAGAGAAAAATGATTGTGTGTTCACTTACTCATAGTCAGCTCCACTTCTTATACAGTTCAGGATCCCCTGCCTAGGGAATAGTGGTACCCACAGTGGGCTGGGCCATTCCATATCACCTGACTTAAGACAATTAAGACAATCCCCAATAGACATACCCACAGGCCAGCCCAATGTTGGCAGTTCCTCACTGAGACTCTTGGTTCTAGGTTGCCATGTGGACAGTTAAACCTAACCCCTGCAGTGTCTTTTCCTCCTATCATCATTTTTGGGTGCTTTTGCAGTTGATTGTGAGAAGTCTGTCTACTGCAGTAGACAGGCAGCTTCTTGATGGAAAGGTTGTTTTGGTCACCACTGCATTCTCTCTACCTGGTGGTTTCTACACACAGAGTATCATTCAATAAATGGTTGCCCAGTGAGTGAATGAATGAGAGTACAGAGAGACCTATGCAGCAGTAAATGGACAGTGGTGTGTGCCTACGTGGGTAAGTGAATGTAGAATGGCCTGGTGGAGTAGTTGGGTTGGTGAGTGAATTCCCAGGTAGATCGTTTAGTAGGTTGATGAATGAACTGGTAGGCGGATGGCCTGGTGATACATAGCTTTGTGAATGGACAAATGTGTTACATTAGTGGTTGGTGAATGTACAGATAGTAGATGAATGGACAGATGGAGCATGGATGGGTTGGTGGGAGAATAAAGAGTTCATATGGTTGGCTCTCTTGGTAAATGGCTTACTGCCTGTCAGCTGGGGCAGTAGCCAGTCTCTCATCACTGCTACACCTAGGAAAGGCACCTCAGGGAAGGGGTTATTCTGCTCAGGATTTCACAAGTTTTAGTCTGCCATGGAGGGGTAGTAACAGAGCACAGAGGCTAGGAAGCAAAGATAGAGAGGTAGGTGGTGGGGAGGAAGAATGCCTTTACTAGATGGCCTCTACTCGCCCATCTCATTTCTTCCATCTGGACGCCCAGACTATGAACTGAATATTCATGGTTAGTCTCCCTCTTTCTTTTCCCCTTGCTATGACAAAATACCTGAAAAGAAAAAGCAACTTAAGGAAAGGTTTCTTTGGGATCATAATTTGAGGAATACAGTGGAGAAGGCATGGCAGCAAGCCATTGAGGCAGCTGGTCACTGCCTCTGTCAGGGAGCAGAGAGGACAATGCTGGCGCTCAGCTTGCTTATTTTTATTTGGTGATGATGATGATGATAATGTGTGAGTGTGTGTGCATGATCTAGAGGAGCATGCATGTCATGATGGCATGCATGTGAAGATCAGAAAACAACTTAAACTTAACAGTTTTCTCTTGCGCCATTGTACCATATGGATCCCAGAGACTGAACTCAAGTCAAGGCTTGGTGGAAAGTGTTTTACCTACTGAGCCATCTTACCAGTCCCCTACTTATTATTTATTTCGTGTGTGTGTGCATGTGTGTATGTGTGTATATGTGGGTGTCCAAGTGAAGGTCAGAGGATAACTTTTAGGAGTGGGTTCTCTCCTTCCCCCATGTGAGTTCCTGGGATCACTCAACTCATCAAGTTTGGCAGCAAGAGCATTAAGTTTCTGAGCCATCATGCTGGCCTGCTTTTTATTCAGTCTGGGATCCCACCCCATGGAATGGTTCTACCCACACCCAGAATGAGTCTTTTCTCTTAGTTAACCCTCTCTGGAAACCTCTTCAGAGACACACCCGAGAGGTATGTTTCACTGATGCACTACCCCTTTCTTAACTGAATCAAGTTGACAATGGAATTTAACCAGCACACCCTGGCCTCTTAGTTTATCCCCTCTGGAAATGCCCTCAATGAAACACCAGTATACCTCACCCATCTCCTGGGCATTCCTCAGTCCTATCAAATCGACAGTCCACCAGATTAGCCATGCAGCTGGGGTTGAAACAGAGCAATGGGTGAGTTCATAAATGAGAGAATAAGTCAGTGAATGGATGCAGAAGGTAGATGAATGGACAGGTAGACGGATGGATAATACATAGATTAATGGGTAGGTTAGTGGGGCTGGGCAGATGGATGGAGGGATGGATAGATGGATGGGTGGGTGGGTAGTCAGTAGAATGCATAGATGGATAAAGAATGAGCAAATGGGTGGGTTGGTGAATTTGATGGGTGAGTGGATCATGAATCATCAGTAAGACTGGTGCTCTGTGTCATGCCTAATTTATACATAAAGGTTATTCTAGACTGCAGTTGTACATTAGATTATAATTTCCAGTGTGTGCACATATGCATATATGAATGCATGTATGTACACCTATATGGATCACTTCTCTTTGGTCCTTGGTACTCAATCCAGTACATAGCCAGGACAGAGCTCTCTGAGTACCCTCTTGTCTCTTCCTGCCCCTTACCTAGGCTCGAACAAGCTGTCCTGGACCATTGGATCCCAGTGCCTTTTTGAGTTCTGAATTCCTTCTTCCTGAAGACCCTAAGACCAAAATCCCACCTACTCCTGTGCCGACTCCTCTCCTTTCATATCCCACCCCTGTCAAGCTACACGGCCTGGAGCCCTGCACCCCATCTCCCTTCCCTACGATGGCTCCACCTCCCACTCTGTTGCCAGAAGAGCCCCTCTTCTCTGCCAGGTTTCCCCTCACCACAGTCCCTCCTGCTCCAGGAGGGTCTACACTTCCTGCACCTTCGACCTTTGTTCCCACCCCACAGCCTGGCCCTGCCCCCGGCCCTGCCCCTTTCTCCATAGACCATCTGCCTCCTGGGTACCCAGAACCTGTCTTTGGACCTCACTTCACCATGCCTCCGGGTGTGCAAACCAGATGCAAGCCCTCCACCACCCCATCCCCTGGGGGAAGGAAAGCCAGTCCCCCCACCTTGGCCTCGGCCACTGCCAGAGACAACAACCCCTGCCTTACACAGCTGCTCAGAGCAGGTGAGATGGGAGAGGCAAGTAGATGAGGTTCTGGGAGGAAGCGACTCTGACAGGAGTGGGGAGGCTATAAGGGCAGAAGGCCGGGGTTTTAGGGTGGTCTTGGGAGACAGAGAGAAGGTGGAAAGATATTAGGGATATGAGCTATGTCTGATATGGGTGTGTGGGCTGCTGGGAACAGGAAGAGGTCTTAATTGGTGATGGACTTGATTAGGCCAGTCTAGTGGCCCTCATAGTCCTGCCTGTACCCAGCCAAACCTGAGCAAGCACTGGAACCTCCAACTGTGCCCAGCACCTTCCTCCAGCCTCCAGAGTCCCTGGTAAGATGGCGGGCACTGGGTCATAGGGGTCAGTCTAGGGCCTTTGCTCCAACCTTCTGCCCTTCTCCATCCCAGCAGGATACAGTTTCTGAAATCCCCTGTGCACGTGCCTTCTTCCCCCCAATCCTGGCCCCTACACCACCCCGGCCATCTCTGGGGCAAGCCACATTGGCTCCTCCCAGGTCCCTGGTTGTCCCCAAAGCAGAGCGGCTGTCACCCCCAGCACCCAGCGGTAAATAGGGGCTAGAGGGATTGTGGGAGGGAGGGGGAAGGACGAAGAGGACAGGGCAAAGGGATTTTCTCCCTTGTATGTCGGTCTGTCTGTGGGATTGTCCCTGCCACAGGCAGTGAGCGGCGGCTATCAGGGGATCTGAGCTCCATATCACCTCCGGGGATACTGAGTGTCCACCTATCTCCCCCTCAAACTATCCTAAGTCGAGGTCGTGCAGACAACAACAAGGTATGTGTCATCCTTTGACTTCAAAGACCCAGTTGCTACCAATCCTTCCCCCTGGCTCTCCTTCTCAGTCTCCCCTCGCGTTGTCCTGCTTTCTAAGATGGAGACCCGACGCATCACACACATCTCCGCAGAGCAGAAGAGGCGTTTCAATATTAAGCTAGGATTTGACACCCTTCACGCGCTTGTGAGCACTCTCAGTGCCCAGCCCAGCCTAAAGGTGAGCCCCCGACAGAGATGCATACTCCCTTAGAGTCGTGGAGCCCCTCCTTGGACCAACACCAGATCCCAGGGCCTGCCAACACAGAGGCCCACACTGGTGGCGCCCGCAGGTGAGCAAAGCGACAACGCTGCAGAAGACTGCCGAGTACATCGTGATGCTGCAGCAGGAACGGGCAGCCATGCAGGAGGAGGCGCAGCAGCTGCGGGATGAGATAGAGGAGCTCAATGCTGCCATCAAGTAAGCAGGGGTGGAGCCCAGTGAGGGATGGGCACCTGCCTTCTGTGTGTGGGCTAGGGGCGTGGCTTAGATGTAGAGCCTGGAACACCTCAGTGAAGGGCTGGGGGTTGCACTCCTAAAAATCTGCCAGTAAGGGGTTGGGGTTGTGGCTCAGTGGTGGAGCAACTGCCTAAAATCCTGAAGTGACAGACTAGGGATGTAGTTTGTCTTACACAGCATATACAAGAATTGGGTTTCCCTGAGCACAGTGGCACAGGCCTATAATCCCAGCACTCAGAGAGGCAGAGGCAGGTTGGATCTCTGAGTTAGAGGCCAGCCAAGGCTACAGAGAAAAACCCTGTCTCAAAAAAACCAAACAAACAGTAAAAAAAAAAAAAAAAAAAAAAAAAAAAAGAAGAAGAAGGAGAAGGAGAACTGGGCTTCAGCCTCAGCATTTTCAAAAGGAAAACAAAAACAACAAATGTACTCAAGGGCTGGGGTAAAGGAGACATGTCCTCACGTTCCCTGCATCGCAACTCTTTGCATTCCCAGCTTGTGTCAGCAGCAGCTACCAGCCACTGGGGTGCCCATCACACATCAGCGCTTTGACCAGATGCGAGACATGTTTGACGACTATGTCAGGACCCGCACACTGCACAACTGGAAATTCTGGGTAGTATCCTTATTTGGGCTGGTGGCCTGAAGACAGTACTGGCTGCTGTTGCTGTTACAGTCAGCCCAGGTTGTGTCTCAGACCACAGGTTGAGCTTTGGTTCTGTCCTCTACTGTCAGGCCCTGAGATTGCAAGATCGCATGGCAACTGGGACTGGGAGCTGAGAGGGAGGCAGAGTAGGTTAGGGGATACCCTAAGGCAGTCTGGAAGGATCTAAAAGTCCAAGTTGTATGAGGCCTAGAGAAGGCAGGGCACCCACTCTTCACTGGATTCAGGGTCAAGTTGGTGATTGTTTTCCCATTGGAGACTGAGCATGAGCTCTGTGCCAGCCCTCTTATAACTTTTTATTTTGAGACAAATTCTCACTAACTTGTCCAGGCTACCCTTGAACTTGTAATCCTCCTGCCTCAGCCTCCTGAATGGCTGAGATTACAGACCTGTGCCATTAGGCCAGTATTCAAGTTCTTGACTGAGCCTACAGATGTGGGACAGACTAATACTGAATGAGGGCTCTGGCGGCTCTAAGGGGAGGGGCCTAAGAGATGAGTGAAAAACCGTTGGCAGGGCTGGGGAGGGGAGCAGAGAGGCTCTCCATGGGGTTAATAGTTCGACAGTGACAGGTCTTTCTTGGCACTAGCTTGGGTCAGTTGTAATAGTCCTATGTGAAATGGTAAAATGCTGTCTGGACCACCTGTGTGTTCCCTGACTCCAAGCACAGTTCAGCATCCTCATCCGGCCTTTGTTTGAGTCCTTCAATGGGATGGTGTCTACTGCAAGCTTGCACAGTCTCCACCAGACCTCGCTAGCCTGGCTAGACCAGTACTGTTCCCTGCCTGCTCTCCGGCCAAGTACGTGAGCCACCTTTCTGCCCACTAAATTGTGAGGCCTTGTAGAGCACCTGCCTAGAATCCCCCAGTGAGGGGCTGGGGTGTGGCTCAGTGGTAGAGCACCTGCCTAGAATCCCCCAGTGAGGGGCTGGAGGTGTGGCTCAGCAGAAGAGCACTTAAATTATCATGTACAAAACCCTGAGTTCAGTCTTCAGTAACACATGATACACACACACATATACACACACACACACATGCGCACACACACACCTGTGATTTCAGAGTGGAGAGTTCAAACCCAGCCTGTTTGGTCCCAAAGTCTAGTCTATCTTGTATACAGCCTAGGGTTTGAGGCTATTCCACCATGTCACACCCTGGAGAGTCCTCTAGTCTCTAAAATACCTAAAGGTGGAGGTTCTGGGAATAGCCACCTGTTTAGCAAACTAGTCCATGTTCCTGACTTCATCTCTCACCTTAAAGGCATCTCATCCTCTTTTCCCAGCTGTCCTGAATTCCCTTCGCCAACTCAGCACATCCACCAGCATCCTGTCGGACCCAAGCCGTGTGCCTGAGCAAGCCACACGGGCAGTCACAGAAGGCACCCTGGGAAGGCCATTATAATCCTGGTGAAGGTTGCCAAGCTTCAGACATAGCTAGTGGGTACTCCCCTCCTGATCCTGGCTAGACCATTCCCTGAGGGTCAGGCAGGTTCCAGGTTTTACACTTACCACCTCCTGGGGATAGAGAACTTAGTTCCCATCCCTGCACCATCACTAATGCTTGGTCCCTGGTGACTCATACCCCATCTTTGGACCTACATTTAATCACAGAGAACCCTAAAGGCATTAGCAGCTGTGACACTGGGGACTCAGGCTACCCAGGGAGCTCTGAGGAGAAAAGATTCTAATCTGATTCCCTACAACTCCCTGCTTTGGACAGAGGGTACCACCCCTTAGTTCCTGAGCAGGGAGGCACAACAGGAGAGCCCTCTCTTTGTTCCTGCAGTGGTGACATGGGGAGCTATAGGGTGGCTTTGTGGGTACGGTCACCAAGGTCTGATGCAAGGAGAGATCAGGGCAAGGGGTGGCCACAGCAAGGCAGGCATCTTGCATGTATGTAGATGTGTGTGTGAGTATGTGGATTTTATAAAAATATTTTTGATCAATAAAGGCAAAAACTGTCTGCAAGGATGTTGGTGTGACTGGCAGCATGTCTCAGTGTTAGCAGTGAAAAGTGGCTTTGTAGAAGACCCTGTGGGTCTTTAAAAAAAAAAAGTACTCAAAGATTGTTTTGTTCTCTCTTCCGATTCAAGGTTTCTCTCTGTACCTCTGGCTGTCCTGAAACTCTCCCTGTAGACTAGAGTGGCCTTGAACTCAGAGATCTGTGTCCTCTGCCTCCCAAGTAGTGGATAAAAGTCATGCGCCACCACTGCCCGGCCTCTGCCCGGCCCCCACTTCTGGCTTTTACATGGGTGTTGTGGTTCTGAACTCAGGTCCTCGTGTTTACATAGTAAGCACTTTACCTACTGAGCCATCTCCCCAGCCTACCACCCTTGCTTTCATGAGGTGAAAGCTACTGGCAAATTTGGGTAAAGATAAGACAAAAATCAAGTGAAAGTTTGTTTTTTTTTTATTTGAAATTTTTTAAATTATGTGTGTCTGTCTGTCTGTATGTGTATGAGTGCAGGTCCAAGTGGAGGCCAGAAGAGGGCGTGGTATCCCCTGCAGCTGAGTTCCTGGGTGTGCCAGCTGCCACATGGGAGTTCTGGGAACCAAGTGGGGGACCTCTGCAAGAGCAGTTCCTGCTCTTAACAGCTAAGTTATCTTCCAGCCCATTTTTTTTTCCCTTCTTGATACAGGGTCCAGCTGTGTATCCTAGGCTGATCTCAAACTTAAAATTCTCCTGCCACAGCCTCCCCTAAGATTTCAAATGTGTGTGTCGCCACACTGAGCCTCACACAGGAAATCCTCTTGTCTTTAGTCAAGATGGAGGGCCTGTGCCACCAGGCAGGCCTCGAACTCACAGAGATCTGACTGCCTTTGCCTCCAGGGTGCCTGGATAAAAGGTATGTGCCACCACCCCCAGTCCCCAGCATGGTCTTCAATAACTGAGGTTGGCCTTCACGGCCTGCTCCTGCCTTCCTAAGTGCTGGGATTTCAGATGGGTTTCTCAGTTGTTATAAGGATTTAAAAGTCAAGGTAAGTCCAAGCAGAAACAGGTGGATCTCTGTGAGTTTTAAGGCCAGCCTGATCTACCTAGTTCCAGGTGAGCCACAGCTTGTAGTCCTATCTCAAAACAAAAACAGCACACACACACTGGGGCTGTAAGTCAGTATAGAGAGTGCTTGCCTCATGTGTGTGCGACCCCAGGTTTAACCCACACTGTTAATAAATAAATGAATACTTTTTTAAAGTGGTGTTTCAAGGATTTCTACCCTGTAGTGGGAACTAGGGAAATGTAAACCCCTCCTCATAAGGTTCCAATCCAAACCAAAGTTCAATTCCACCAAGGTTCACCCTAGGTAGGTGACATTAAAGCAGGCACACTGGGAGGCTACATCCATCAGGGTTGATGGCTTCCCCCATAGCTGCACATACGGAGCCTCCTTCCCCTCCTCCTCCCCTTTAGGGAATGAGTGAAGTCCATAATGGATGTGTGTTGCACATGGCCACAGCCAGGTTAAGAACCCCAGTGCCTTGGCCTCATGGGTTTGGCAAAGCCTTCCTCAGTAGTCCAGGAAGGGTGAATGTTGACAGGGTGGGCAGGAAATGTCAGCCACAGCTTCCTCCCCGACATGTTCACGAGGACTCCCAACAGGGACTACTGGACCAAGGTTAGACCCATCTCCTTGTTTGTCTGTATGGAATAAGCCCACCTCTGTCCAACTGCATATAACATGAATGCAGCACTTCATCAGAGCCAGACAGCCCAGCCCAGCTTTTCTCTGTCCCTGTGTCTGTTCTTTTTCCATCCCCTTGACATCTCTAGTCAGGGTTCCAGGACACAGGGCATGCATGGGCTCAGCACTGACCTATATACTCTAGTCCCTAAGGTGGTGTGCAACTGGGGTAAGATTACAATAATTGGGTAATAGGGGTAGCTAGATACTCAGGTGTGGGTCCCTCCCTGTCCCTTATGTGAGGGCCATCAGCAGGCCTTGAAAGAAAAACTCCCAACTGTGATTTTTTTTTTTTTTTTTTGCATCAGTCTCATTTGAACTTCTGAGGATGGTAGCAATTTAGCTTGTATGATACATGGTCAAAATGGTAAATGCGGCTGGGTGTAGTAGTGCAAGCCTTTCATCTCAGCAGCCCAGCCTTGTCTATCTAAGAGTTCCAAGCCAGAGAGGGCTCCATAGTAAGACTGCCTAAAATAATTTTTATAAGACTGTCAAGCATGGTGGCTCCCTCTGCCGTCCCAGTATCATGTGTGCTCTCTCTCTTTCTCTCGCTTTCGCTCTCTGCTCTCTCACTCTCTCTCTCTCTTCCTCTTTCCTGCTGTCCTGGATGGAGCTGTATCACAACACCTTAGTCTTTTGCTTTGTTTTGTTTTGTTAAGGCAGGGTCTCCCTAATTTGTCCATGTTGGCTTCTTATGACCCTTCTTTCTCAGCTTCCTGAGGAGCTGGGATCCCAGCTTTGTACCACCACAAACACCTAAGACCATATCTTTTTAAAAGAAAGTTAAAATGAAAGATGCTAGGGATGTCAGTTGCTTGGTGGAGTTTGACCAGCATGCCAGCAGCCCTGGGCTCAAGTCTCCGTCTCCGCACTGAATAAACATGCCTGAAATCCCAGCACTTTGGAGGTAAGGTAGGATGATGAGTTCAAGGTCACCCTCAGCTACATAGTGACTTGGATACCAGTGTGGGCTATATGAGATCCACTCCACCCCTCACACACATACAGACATTCACACACACACACAAATTCATCAGAGTAGCATATTGTCACCTGCATTTTACAAGTGGAAAACTGAAGGGGCTTAATGCCTTAAAGACATGCCTGTCTCCAGAGTCTCTGCTCTGCTCCCTATAGTGGTTTGAATGAGAATGTCCCCCATAGGCTCAGGAATTTGACTACTTGGTCCCAGGTTGGAGGGTATGTGGCCTTGTTGGAGGAAGTATGTAGCTGGAGGAGCGTTTTAAAGAGTTCATTGTGCTTGGTGGCATGCCTTTAATCCCAGTACTTAGAAGACAGGCAAGCAAATCTCTGTGAATTCAAGGCCAGCCTAGTCAACAGAGTGAGTTCCGGCAGAGCCAGGGCTACATAGAGAAACCCTGTCTCAAAAACGACAAGGGTTTAAAGATTCACACCACTTCCAGTTCTCTCCCCCGCCTCTCTCTCTGTGTGTGTCTGTCTCTCTGTCTCTCCTTCCTGCTTGTGTTTAAGGATGTGAGCTCTCAACTTCCTGTTCCTGCCATGTCTGCCACCTGCTGTCCTGACTCCCAGCCACAGTGGACTCGTCCCTGTGGAATCATATGCCAAAATAAACTCTTTGGTAAGTTGCTTTGATCATGGCATTTTATCAAAGAAACAGAAAATAAACAGACCTCCTTTCTACTGTGTGTGTGCCAGGCATGACCAGCTCTGTGAGCTCTCTGCCACTGAAGATGGGCTTGAAGGGGATTTCTAAAGTTACATTTGAACAGTATATTATTTAGTTAGTTTTGAGACAGGCTCTCACTATATCTAGCCTTGGCTGGCCTGAAACTTGCTCTGTAGACCAGCTAATCTTGAACTCAAAGAGATTTGCCTGCCTCTGCCTCCTGAGTGCTGAAAGGAAAGGCCTACACCATGCTGGTTTGCATCCTATTTGAAAGCAGTACCGTTTTTACCAAGCCATCTCCTTCCAGAAGGCTTTCCTGTAAAATAACCCCTTTGCACAGGTGTAATCTAATAGGAGGCTGAAGCAGAAGATCATGAGTTAGAGACAGCAGAAGACACAGAGTGAGTTCAAGGCTACCTTAAGATATTTTGGGAAAACCTGCCCACCCCCGCAAAAAAAAGGCAGGAAGGTTCCAGAGATATGGTCCAGTGGTCAAATGTGCTTTCTGCCCTTCCAAAGGACCTAAGTCCAGTTCCCAGCACCCACGTCAGGTACATCACTATTGCCTGTAACTCCAGCTCCTGCTCCAGAGGAGCTCACTCCCTCTGCTGGTCTTCTTTGGGACCTGGCACAAGTGACAGACAAATAAATAAATAAAATAATTTTTAACTGCAATGGTGGTACAGGCCTTTAATTCCAGAACTCAGGAGGCAAAGGCAGGTGGATCTCTGTGAGTTTGAGATCAACCTGTTCTACAAAGTGAGTTGCAGGACAGCCAGGGCTACACAGAGAAACCTTGTCTCAAAAAAAAAAAATCAACAACAAAAAGCAAGGGTTTGGGGATGTAGCTCAGTTGTTAAAGTCCTTGCCCAGCACACACATGAAGCCCCAACATTTACAGGACCGTATAAACTGGACCCATTTTTTTTTTTTTGAGACAGGGTTTATCTGTGTAGTCTTGGCTGTTTGTCCTGAACCCAATTTGTATACCAGTCTGGCCTCGAACTCACAGAGATCCGCCTGCCTCTGAGTGCTAGGATTACAGGTATGCACCATCACACCTGGCTACCTGGACCCATTTTTATACCTGTAATCCCAGCATTTGGAGGTGGAGGCAGGAGGATCAAGCATTCAATGTCATCCTTAGCTGAAAAGTGAGATGGATGCCATTGTGGGTTGCATGAGCCACTATCTAAGAAAGCAAACCAGAGGTTAGAGAAACAGCTTAGTAATTCAGAGCACTAGATGCTCCTTCAAAGGAACCAGATTCAGTTCCCAGCTGCCTGATCAGGAAGTTCACAGCCACCTACAACTGCAGCTCCAGGAACCCAGTGCCTCACTTGCACATCCCCTGCTCCTACACACAGATACACATAATAAGCACACACACACACACGCTGACAAAGTAGGCAAGCAGAAAGAGGACCCACCTTGGCCCTGGGTCCTCTTTTTCTGTTTGTTTTTTCAAGACTGGGTTTCTCTGTGTAGCTTTGGCTGTCCTGGACTCACTTTTAGACTAGGCTGGCCTCAGACTCACAGAGATCCACCTGTCTCTGCCTCCTGAGTGCTGGGATTCCAGGTGTGAGCCACCGTGCCCAGTGCCCTGGGTCCTCTCACTGATGGCCCTCTGTGGTGGTTTGAAT